GAGGAAGGGAGGTGAGGCTGGCAAAGAGCGAGCCCAAAGCTGGAACATCTCCCTACGCGGATGCTCGCAGTTTGCTACGGCATTCGCGTTGCAGCTCCGTGTGGACCAACAGGTCACGGGGACTGCCGGGACCTGGATCCCCATGGGGAGCTGCGGATTTCCCAAGCGGGAGCATCTCGGACCAGCAGGAGCATCGACACCTGGTTCTGCCCACCAGACCGGAGAGAGCATCAGTGCCTGGTCCTGCACCGGTCCAGCCCTGCTGGAAGTGGACAATCAGACCTGCTGCTCCTCTGCCCTCCACAAAGGGGAAAAGAGGGCAAAACTCAGCAGTTTGGGGTACCGTGGCTGGTCGGCAGCCAGGGTGGCGGAGCCAGCCTCCTTACTCCTACCCTTGGGACACTCCGTCCCAAGGAGCACACCTCCTTTAGGTGACAGCTCAGCCACAAAACCTCCAAATGCAAAACTCGGACGTGAAAACTGGAGGGGAGGCTGTTCCCGAGGAGCATCCCCCGTGCCACAGCGGGTGTAGGCACGTGGTTTTAGGTTATGAATGAAACACTTAAAATATTTCAAGTGGCCTCGCACCAAAAGGCCACGAGCATCGCAGAGCATGTTCCATTTCATCTCGCATCTCGCACAGACGCACAGGGCAAACGCCGGCAGCAAGCGGCACCACTACAGTGGGCGAATTCCCAGACAGCATCGGCAGATGCTCGGCCGTGCCGCTAATGGACTTTATGGAATTGCATCCCCTCCCACAGTCTTCCCCGTTGCCATTGACATTGCAAAAATGAGACCACCATGCCTTTTATAAAGTTTTAAGGTATTTAACTTCCTGACGAAAAACTACTCCGGGCTCAGCACGGCGCTCGCCTGGCGGCTCGGGAGGTTTTTCTTCATACAAACCGACCCAAAAAGGGCCGCTGAACTATGGCTTTTTTTGTCTGCAATTAGAAGCGACGATCGATACTAACATTAGATTAAGTTTGAACTTTGCTGAACCTAGAAGGAAATCTTTTATAAAAAAAATTAAAGAGCGGCCAACTCAATATACACTCAATTAGTCAAAATCATAAGCTCGGGAAAGGAGACAAAAAGCCAGACCGTGCAGCAGCCGGTGGGCTCGGGGACCCGAAAACCCCGATCGGAGGCAGCGCTGAGGCTGGCGGCCACTCGGCCGCCCAAAGGCGACAGCTCAGCGCTCTCTGCTCGCCTGACTGGCGACGGGGCACAGACGATGCTGCCACGAGGGGGTCCGGAGCCGTGCTCCC